GGATCGTGGGGGGCGGGGGGGGGGGGGGGGGGGGGGGTGGCGAAGAAATGAAAACAGGTAATGAACACGAGACTGGGGTAAAAAGAAATGCGTTTTCATGACTCGGGTAGGAAGGACGCTGGTTCCACAAAGGACAAATAATTTACAATTCACAGATTTAGTACATGTGAGATTTTCAATGAACACAAATTGGAAATATCAGAATGTGTCATTACACTCAAGACTCGTCAAATGGTCATTTTGACCCTTATTTGGCGTCGCCCAAGAGTATTTCTCGCGAAAACACCATTTCACGCTATCTAATTAGCCAAATTAGTTTCCATGCCACATCATGGAGTGGGGACACAACTAAAATAGGCGCATAAAGTGAATTCAATGTTACGGGCCCCTATTCAGACTATTTGTCCCAAAGGTGTAGAAAAGGATACCGAATAAGTAGTATAAGTACAGTAAAAAAAAATTGAACATTGCATTGTGAAACACGCATTTGCTTTGCTGCCCGTGAGCAACTCGCTTCGCTAGATAGTTTGTTGCAGGTGAAGAAGACCACGCTTGACTTGTTACTGGAACCCCTCCCCTCCCGGTGTTGCGCACGCTTATCCTTTGGTTCGGCAAGCATTCGTGGATGAAACCATTGTCCCAAGTCAAGTTTAGAAATGGGTAATTACTCCAAAAGAATCCTCAAAACTGGTGGAAAGCCGATCACCGTTTCCAGCTCTAACAGTACGTTCGTGAATCGGTCGTATTCGGAATGGTATTTGAAATCACATTGCAACAGATAGATTGATAGCAGCACATGCCATGCACCATCACAAAGTGCCCGGTGATGAAACTGACAACATGGGGTCAAGGAACAGTATATTAGCGAGAGCTTGGTTCATCTCAGAGCTTCGGTTTTCACTGCCTGAGGTCACAAGAAAGTTTGTCACTCCGTCGATCCGGACGGTTATTCAACCGGCCATAGATACGCTCGTGGTAGGGATTCAGGAATTCCCTAACGTAAACATTAAGGAACAGCCAAGCTATGCAAAGTGCCTCGTTCATATCGTATTGGATTTCTGCCCCCTACCCCCTCGCACTGAAAGCTGAACGAAACCGGTTAATTGCCGAAGCATTTGTAAATTCTTTGGTGGGCCTGCAAAACAACATATTGAAACCATGATTTCACTGTCTCTTCGTGTTATTCTCCTGAGTTAAATAATGTGCTCCGATTGGCCAGTAGATAAAGCATTGTAAGCAAGCATGTTGGTCACATCTCTGTTACACTAAAACAATTTAAACCAACAAATTAACTGATTCCCGGTGCTAGAGTCTCGTTGTCGACTAGCTACTGCACCTTCTTTATACAACTTAGGTGCAGTTTCATGATCAAGAGATGAAAACCTTTTGCTACAATCACTTTTAGCTTCTTAATTTACCAAGAAACATGCTGTGCCACGCTCTAGCTCGACTTACCCGTTGCTTGAGACGTGTTTTCATAGGCGCAGAAAGTTGTTGTGTCCCCGTGTCATTTGAAGTACTTTGGAGCAGTTTCTGNACCCCCAGCTGGACTGCATTTTCCACCGAGGTGTTGTGTTTAGTGCGCAGATTCTGCAAATCGATTTAGAGTGCAAGGGAATATGAGTGTGTTTTATCGATACCGTTCGAATTATCAGAGAGTGAAAATCTGTGATGTCCGAAAATATCAGTATGGGCGTGTAGTATTCAGAATAGGAATCTGAATCGAATAGCACGAACTGGGAATTGTACTGAAACCCCACTGAATAGCGCAAAGTCAGGTAGAACAAAGACGAGTTGTGGATACAGTTAATTCTATTTGAAAAATCACGCATGTAGATATCACAAGCATCGAACAATCATTAGTCGATTCTTCAATGTCCAATCAACAATGACATGTTTCATCTGTTTGCCTTCTTGCATTCAGCCAATCCGGTCTGTGCCAACTGAAACCACAGGATAAATCTGTTTCTTGATTGGCTACCTAGAATATTTACCGTGGTGCGTGCGTACTCGTTACACGATCACCACAGGGTGTCCGCAAGCGTGAGCTAGGCTTGCAAAAGAAACTTGTGCCTGCCCATGAACTTCTCTGATCAAAGATCGAACTTGTCACGCGCAATCTTCTTATTGATCGGGATAAATGATTGTCACATAACTATATGTGCAACTTCCTATCCCTCAAATTTCCCCTCGTTTTAGCTATCCGGGAATTGACTTACAATTCGAAAGCTGCTTCGTTCAGGGACAACCAACGAGGATGATCCAAATTAGGCAATCGGTCGAAACCTGTAGCTAATCAAGATGATTGACAAAGATCCAGTCAGCCAATAGTTGTGTTTTTACAATCTTATTTCTTCCATATTCTATCGAAACACGACAAAACCGTGTGCACGGCATGGAAACACCGTGTTGACCTGTGATCAATTAATATGCAGTTTTTACCAAGGCTATTAGGTCTTATTTTTTTGCCTCATCAGCAACTCAAAAACCGAATGTTCTAAATGAGTTACTGCCAACGCATACAATACATTGTCTTTATGATCTAGCACATTATACACTCGTTGTAATTCAACTTGTTCAAGTATATCAACTCAAATTGTACAGGTATTATTTCAAACTGTCCAGTTTCAGTTTGTACAACCATTACCACGCATATTCGTGCGCAGGTTTTGCTTACTGTCTTTTGGTTGCTCATTTGGATGAACATAAGGAGAAAGATAGGAAAGATTGAAAGTAGGATTAAAGAGAAAATGGATAATTTAGGTGGACTAATGTTGCAGAGAAATTGTGAAGATGCATGAACGCCATTGTTTACGACACCCAGCCATATCACTCAGTGTCTCTAACCACCGGTTACAATCATCCCGAGGTCCCCAGCCAGGGAGCTTAACGGGACTTATATGACCGAGTCTCCTGGTTAGGGGTTTCATACCCTTGCACCAGGTCTCATTTTGACAAACCTTGAGATTATTCCATCTACTACTACTACATCGCTAGCCGTGACGACCTATTTGGTGACATGCGTAACGCATGCTTCAAACGACGTAATCGAGAGGGTTCGATCACTTGCTCCAGTGGGCGACCGTGGTTACCCAAAACTTTGCGCCTAACCTCAGTATTATTCGTCCGGTGGCCCCACCACATTCGTTCAATGCTGCGTAGACAGCGGTGTTCAAACAACGACAATCAATCTTTATCCTGTTTTCCTAAAGGCCAAGTTTCTGCTTCTTATAACAGAACTGGCCTGCTGTCCAGGCTCATGTTCTGTTCAAGCTTCCTAGCAATGTTTGGATGACCATCACGCTGCACAGAATTCTCAACCTCCTGCGATAAGAACGGGGAGCGTATGATCGAGATACGTCTCACAACCGCCTCTCATGCGCTGGGACTTGACCACCACATGGGCCTGGAAGCTCTGATGAGATCAATGAAGCAGCTTGAAATTATGCAGAGACAGCTTGAAATGATATCCGGACATTCCGAATCTATACTCGAATAATTTGGGCTGCAAAAGGTACAGTGACTGTTGGATAAGTCAAGCAAGGATTTCGTGCATCAGGTTAGTCTAGAGTCATGTGAGAATCACCTGAAACGGATTTGGTTTCAGTCTCCCCCCTTGTCTGATACCTCAAAAACTGAATGTAATCGTTCAGCCTGTGTATACACTTCCAGCTGATTGGACTACATATTCATGCCAGTGTAATTTCTGTCAATAACGTAGTTGTCCTGTATGCCTCGCACAAAACAAAACATCATCGTCGTTGCGTCAGCATCGTGAAGACGATTGCGGAATAGTGCGCCGCCATTTGTTAAGCTGCCCTCCTACACGCGGATAAGCAAGCCATCAAGTGAAGTCAAATAGGATCGGGTGAGAGAATCCAACTTACTTCTATCAGACGTAGCAACCGGGGCAATTCGGTTTTGGATGCATTCAGTACAGCTTCTCTCAGTTTGTTCAACGAGTCCTCGCTTTCCTTCAGGCTGTTGAATGCACCGTCCATGCAGTCTTCGCACTCGTCCAACTGGGCTAACTGGGTCTTCACTTTAGTCTCGTGTGTCTTAGACAGAAAAAGAAACATGGGTTCATGGCGTTCAAGTCAAAATTTAACCGAGATTATTGAGCTTTTTGTTGACCAATCCAATTATAAGCATACATTCGGTAAACACTAGAGATCTAAGTTTCACGTTAATTAGAGCTCACCACTGCGGAATATCCATCGACTCATCCAAGGATTGAACCCCGGGTCCTTGTATCAGCCAGCTTACTTTGGTTTTGATTAGAATAGGGTGTGCAGGTATTGACCTTACTCGTGTAAGAGCAAGACTTTCATCACATTTGTTCCTCCTAAAGCTCGGTGTTTCGAGCCTTATTCACCGGGTGGATGAATATCATATTGCCCCGGGTCAGACGAAACGTGTATGTGTTAATATCCATCCATGTTTTTACTTCTGTTGGTCGAATAGCATTAAAACCTATGATTTTTCGACGTGGACGACCACACTTGCTGGTGCTTCAGTTGTAGAATAACAAAGCCTCCGTAATAATAAATCATTAGCATCTATTTCTAAAAATGACTCGTAGGCATGTCACAGGTGTCGTGCCTTCACTTTTCACTTTTCTATTTGTTATTGTTTATTTTTGAGCATCGGAGCTTGTCCTTTTTGATCGAGACTACCAAGTTGACTATCAAACAATGTTTGCCAGTTTCCTCTCATACATACCGCACTCTTCCCACTGACGACCAGTTTGCAGTGGATAATGTACCTTTGTTTCTAACAAAATAGCAAAGTTTTCTTTTACATTCAAACACTCTCATGAAATAGCAACCATTTATCAGAGAGAATGAACTTCCATGCTGCTTTGTATAAAATGTTTTTTAATTCTGAGCTGTAGCTTTCGAACTATTAAAAATCTTATCGCGACAATGAAGGTCACACCAATTAAAACGGTGATACAAGCGAGAACAAAGAACATACCAGTTGGAGATAAAGTTCGTAGTAAATACTCCTCAACTATAGATATGGATATACACGTGTGATTTTGAAAATTAAAATGTACATTCAAAATGAGAGTAATGTTGCGTGAATTCGGACAGCACCTGTATTTGTTAACCTAACTGACCAGCGTCGTGATCCGAGAGTCCAATGTTGATCTCAAGTGTGCATCTGCCCCTATTTTTGAGTTAGAATATATATATACTTATTATGAAATATTCTGTAAAGACGATCAAATCGCGTTTGTTGCGGTTAGTAGCATCTAACCCACTTACAAAAACATTGGATCATAGCATTGATTCTTCAATGGACTAGCTCCGAAAGAGCTGTCTACCCAAAAGTCACTCGGTGTTGCAAACAAGGTTATTGTGACAAAAATACACTTCCTTGGTACAAGTACATGAATGAATTGGCAAAAGATTACCGGATACGCATACCTGACGAGTGGGAAGAAACGCGAAACCGGTCGTATGCTTCCAGGGAAATTTTGTCCAGTCATTCACATACTACTTATTACGATATATGGGTGTGTTTGCGCAATAAAAGCATTGACCAGCTGAGAATTTCCGTATCCATCTTGGATATCTTTGATAGAAAGTGGTGAGTGCTCGAGGGATGGCCGACTATGTTTAAGATTACCTATGTATATCATTTGATATGCTAATTGGTCAACGTCATCTACGTAGTGGATATGGTGAGTTGTCTAATCACGTGGATTGATTTTAAACGGCATATTGCGGAGTCTGTACCATAGAGTTACAGTTATTCAAATGACCAGTGTAGCTGATTACAAACAGAGTGCTGTTTAAAGAGGAACACATGAAACATCTCAAGAAAATGTAGCTCATAGGTTTCCGTTTGTTACTCATGAGCAGTAAAACTTGCATACAAGAAAATACTGCCCAAAGCAACTTACCGCGGCATGTTCTTGTAACGCGTTAAGTTTCGCGCGTAAATCCGACACGGTAAATCCAAAAGCGTTTGTGAGCGGCCAATTCCGTTCCGAGTGAAGTGATCGTTCCAGTTCATCCATTTCGGCATTCACTGCTGCCAGGTGGCCTCGAAGCTCCGCAAACTGTGCACAAATAGGCATTGTCATGTGGTTAAGAATAAGCACGTGCTTTCAACTCGAGGACAATCGAGTTCCTTTTGCTTCGCCGCTGATTCGATTGCTTGATCAAAAATTAACATGTCATAAAGAAACCATTCCCCTTCGAGCGAGGGCTAATTCTCCGCTGGATTTCATTTACTTTTGCTCATTGTTGAGAACTGACAATACCCAGACCCTGATATCACGTGGGTTCAACTAAAAATACATTAAACGAAACAGCTACGTTCATGGATTTCCTTCGTGAGGATATAAGATGTGCTCTAAGGCATTTAGCGGTCTCACCGCATACAACAGAGAATGCTTGAAATATTATAGTTCAAAGTCAGGACGGAGTTCGCGTGATAGCGTCTGTTGCAGTGGTCATAGGCTAGGTGGTAAAACCTCTGTGCATCTTTTGTGCGATGTGGTAGAAAGATGGAAAGATGAATTTATTGGTTCAGTGTGCGAATGGCAACTACGGTTCAAAATCGTAATAATAATCCATTTTACAAAGTCAATGCACAGAAACGGTGATGGAAGCTCACAGTTGAAGTATTGGCGTGAAATTTATGAGCCACAATCTCCAGACTACGATGCAGGACGTTGAATTAATACTCAAGTGAACTGAACGCAACCAAAACAAACTAAAGAAAATTATGCTGATAATCGAACTCAAAAATAACTCGTGACGGAGTATGAAATAGTCATAACTGAAGCACTTGAAAGGTCTGGGATCGCAGTATTTTTTAACACAGCGGGGGATATACGAAAAACAAAATGAAAATGTGTGTATGTGGGGAGGCTACTAATCATACGAAGGAACTGGAGCCAAATAGCTGTCTATCTATACCTTTTCAACTACCAGTGAATCCGTTGTAAATTTCAGTGAATCCAACCAATCGTATTCCAATGGGAACCCCAGATGGTTATTGGTGTTTCGGCCGTCAAACGTCACCGATTGGACCGGGTCTGTCTAAACCTCGTCCAATCGGAATGAACTAATTTCTCCGTAAACAAACAAAAGTACTTTTCGAGTGAGTTACCGAGCGGTGGGGTGAGATGAATTGTTCTCCCCCCTCCCCACCCGCGAATGTTATGTCCGTGATCGTTGATCGAGTGTGCGTCATAGACACAAAAGAACGAACCCGGCGTTCATTGACCTCTGTCGGTCGGCTACGGAAGTGAATCATGTCAAGATGAATCGATAAATCGGTCACCATGCTCAGACGTGAATGTGAGCATGATTCATTGCATGAGTGGAGTCAGTCTAGGCCCTCGATAACCCAATGAGTAAATTTCATTCGGACCGAGTTTCTCTCGAATAAAACCGATTCCTTTGAACCAAATGCAATCGGCTATATACTTCCGATTTTGAAATGCACACTAGACAAGATACTCAACAATGGTATAGTGATACAGTGAAAGAGTTAACAGTATTTCACTGGAATAATGAGATCGAATTCAGAAGCTAACAGAAATGATATTTCTCTCTGAAATTCTCTGACTGATTAATACATTCAATCCACAATGCGAGTGGCAACACTCTGTTAACTGCAGCTTTTCCCTTCGCTAATTAGCTTCATCGCATAGGTTCTTATCTTTATTGCATCACTGAGCAACCCGTCGCATCTTTTCACATACTGTTTGCATCTGTGCGATCATTTATAGTTTTGTAAATGAGACAGGTGATGATAAGAATGAGTTACATTTATCCATGATCCCACATGCCATGTTAACTTTACGGGGTTCTCTTTGGAGTATTAAGTAGAGGTAGGGAAAATATTCTACCCACGGCTATCTCATATTGATCGGGGACTTTCTTATGCATGAAGCAGAGTTGCCTCCAATGACGAATCCATGAATCATCTGGGCTAAGACAAAAGGTTCATTGGCACCGCGGATACCAGTTTGCAACGTATTTCCCGGAAGGGTGGTACCACGAAAGATTGTGTAAACGAGCTATCTACCATAAGATAGAAAATAGTGACATTTTTTCTTCTCTAAACTGACCTGAGCCAGATTATTGGAGACACAAGCTTTTTACATTATTACTCGAATCTCCTGTAGTCGCTGGTGTATTCCCTAACATATTTATTCCACTATGAACCAATCGGGTTTGTAGAAAACTGTTTATGATTTTTTCACAAATGAACTATTTCCTCATCGTTCGTTAAGTCCATTTTGCAATGACTGACAACTGTGAGTGGTTTTTAATGAACAACTAAAGGTTGAGACAGAACGGTCGACCTATAACCCAGTTGTCTTATAATAAACCACCACAGTCCCAGTTGACTGTTATTGTTTCCAGTTCATTCTTTTCATATAGACTAGGTGTTACGTCGTCCCTGTATCCCCGGATGTTTATAGAGCACGACCAACTAAGTGAGGTTACTCATTCAGATAGAGAAACCTCATTTTCTTATGTTCCCTCTACACAATCTGAATTAGAAATCTATCTATTTCGCCATTCCTTTTCAATTTCGTCGTGGTTACCGCTCCGGTTAGGAAGAAATCGCGTGCAGGTCAACAGATGACGTGGAAGTGAGGCATGAAGAAATGCATAGAGCGATTAGGTAAAGTAGACGTCTCCCGTCTTCCAGGTTGGGATCCAAAAGACTGCAACTGGCTGATTGAAGACACTGAAGGATACGGTGAATAACGGACAGCAGTGGCGTTCTTGTTGTCATTTATTATCAGGTCGCAATGCTGGAAAAGGTATGCATGCAGAGTTCGATTGTGCACTCTGTGTGTTGATCATAGAGATTCGCTTTCTTTGCCTCCCTCCAATCAGGTAGTGAATTTGAACTTATTATTTAGGTGAAATGCTGTTAACTCTTTCACTGTATCACTATACCATTGTTGAGTATCTTGTCTAGTGTGCATTTCAATACCAGAAATGTGGCCGATTGCATTTGGTTCAAAGGAGTCGATTTTATTCGAGAGAAACNGAGAGAAACCCGGTATCAATGAAATTTACTCATTGGGTTATTGAGTTTATATATATATATATATATATATTACACCGGCTTCAGAACAAGCATGGTGCCAATGCAAAACAACGCTAACAAAGTTATGAAGGGGCACAAAAAGATAAAATGAAAATACGGAAAACATAGAACACGGAGAACGAATGAATGAATGAAAGATTTTTTTTATAGTTTCACCGTACGCTTTTTAAAGATTTGTTTGTGTCATAGGAAACGGGGTTTCGCCAAAAACAAACCGCACAGCAATTGCGTGACTCACATCTATTCCGAACCATATCTCCCAGTGTCTCTAGCCATCGGCAATCCTCATCCCTTGGATCCCAGTCTGGAAGGCGAGCTGCACCAACCGAAGCGAGAGGTAAAGCCAGCTTCTTCATGCCTCCACGCCAAGTCATGATCTGACCGCCGCAGCGCTTCTTTCAGCCTTGCCCAGCACGTGAAAAGAGAGCACGGCGAGGTAGTCCATGAGCAGGCATACGCAAAACATGACCGAGCCATCGGAGACGGTGTAGAACGATCTCTCCCGTTAGAGAACGATTATCCGTACCCAGCACACGATGACGAGTTTCGTCGTTGCTCATCCGATGTTTCCATTAGACACTAGCAATGGTTCGAAGGCATCGTTGGTCGAATACGGAAAGTCGATCAGCATCCTCCGCTCGGAGAGGCCAGGTCTCGCAACCGTGAAACAGAACACTACGGACCGCGGCGATGTACACCCTTCCCTTAAGGGACAGGCGGATTTCACGGCGGCTCCACAGGTTTCGCAGGTTGGCTAAAGCTGCTTTAGCTTTCGCCAATCTGATTTGATCTCTTTCCCAATCTCACCCCCAGCTGTGATTAAGCTCCCGAGGTACTTACAGCTCTCGACCATTTCCATCTGATTGCCATAAATAGTAAATGCAGGCACAGGCTCCTGCCAGTCTTGAACCAGCACTTTGCACTTGGAAAGTGCAAAGCACATACCATACCTGGACACCTCCATAGCCTATTGGTTTAAGTCTTGCTGGACTGCCTGTGAATTGTCATTCAACAAGACAATGTCATGGGCATATTCTAAGTCAAGAACTCTGTTCCCTGGGAAGAGTTCGACTCCCCCCTTTGCTAAACCGGACAAAGCGTCCTGCAGAACATCCTCTATGGAAAAGTTGAAAAGGAAAGGGGATATAGGATAGTTTTGTCGAACTCCACTGTAGATGGCGAAGGGTGCTGAAAGCTGACCAAAGGCCCTAACCCAACCTGAGTTATGACGAAATAACTCATTGAGTATCGACATGTACTTCCCAGGTACTCCATTTCTCAACAGAATCGAAGTTCGCGCGGATGTCTGCGAACCCAATGATCGTCGGTCTATAGTAAGCATGATGGTGCTCAAGCAGCTGTCGGAGGGTGAAGATTTGATCGATGCACGAAACCCAGCCTGCTCCTCGCGAGCATATGCCTCACGCATTTTTTACAACCTACGAAGAATGATGGACGCTAACAGCTTTGACGCTATTGGGATCAAACTTATACTCCTGTGATTAGCGCAATCGTTGCGTAGGCCCTCTTAAAAAATGGAGACGACAATCGACTCCCCCCACGAGGAGGGGACCTGCGCAGTGTTCCAAACTTCAGAGAACAGGACTTGAAGTTCTCTAAAAAGCGTTGTTCTACCATCTTTAAGTAGAGCAGAGGAAAGGCCATCGGAGACCGGCGCTTTGTGACGTCCCAAGACTTGGATTTCCTTAAAGATTTCGGCCTCAGAAGGTGTGCCTGTTGATACAGACGATGGGACATATGCCGGTGTAGCTGTGTGAGCTGCTGACGCTAGTGGCCCGCTAAACTGTGCTTTGAAGTGCTCCGCCCAGCATTCAAGGGGCCGATGTTGATTGTGAATAAGCGAGCCATCAGCGTCATAGATCGTTTCGCTCACACCCAAAGTTTTCCCACTCGGATGAGATGGAACAGCCTACGGGCATTTCCCATGGCGGCAGCACGTTCCATTTCTAATGCGCGATGAGACCACCAGATCTCGCGATC